TATATATATATATATTAGCATTGCTCCGTGCGATACACGGATTCACGTGCCCGATTAAAGTTTAGTGTTATATACTACTCCGTATTATATATGAACTTTTCTCATGTATTTCTTTTACGTGTCTTTGTTTTGCAATGTTCAAAGTGTAGCATGCTGATTTTGAGTTAGTAAGTTTTTACTCTACAAATACATATGTGGTGTCAAAAATATCAATAACCATCCTCAATATGTTTAATGAAATAAACGGAATAAAATAAAAATATATGGAGTGGTGGGTTTTAACATTTTACACACTATATTGGGAATTAATGTACAACTTTTCCTTATTTTTAGGAGAAATAGTATAGAATAATCCCAAATTTACCTGTTCTTTCAAAAATAAGTATTAGTGCATTAATAATATGTATAGTGCGTAAAATATTAGAACCCTCCACACCTTATATTTTTATTTTATTTCTTATCAGTTTTAAATTAATTTCATTGATTACCTTATATTATATTGATTACCTTATTTATTTTATTAATTTTGTATTGTCTGAGTTAATTTTTTCTCATTTTCGTTATTTTGTATATCTATTTTTTATTTTTGTATAAGGTAAGACTAATCTTTTAGAAAAGAAAGAGAAATAGATTTTGAGATTTTTTTGATGACTGGATAAAGTTGGGATTACTTTGAATAGTTTTTCTAATGATAATAATAATATTTTACAATTGTGATTTATAGGCTATAAAACATCTTCGTAATTGTGAATTAGAGAATGAAGGGATTAAATATAACTAACGGTGTTAAGGGCTTTTTGGGGTATAAATTGCATGGTACAAGTTTTAAAGCTAATGGTACATGTTTTATGGATGGAAAAGGTGCATAATATTAAGTGATACCTAACCCTCTTTCACATTTATATAATAAGAAAGATATATATATAGATATATATATATATATATATATATAATATATATATGTGTATGTATGTATGTATGTATGTATGTATGTATGTATGTATGTATGTATGTATGTATGTATGTATGTATGTATGTATGTATGTATGTATGTATGTATGTATGTATGTATGTATGTATGTATGTATGTATGTATGTATGTATATGTAAATCAAAGGTGTTTAAAAGACTTTAAGAAGTATTTTAGACACCCAAAATATAAAAAAAACTAGATTCGCAGACCCGAACGGTCGACGTAAACAGTCCACCGTCGCGTTAAACATCGAAACGGAGCGCATTTGTCAGACAAACGGTCGACCGCTAGTGGCCAACGGTCGACCGCCGCCAGCCCAGCCGAGGGCCACCGTTCCCAGCAAGTCAAAAACGGTCGACCGCTGGTCAACCGCGGTCAACCATCACGGTGATCCGTCAATCTGACCTGATGAAGATCAAGGTCAACCGTCGCGCCAAACGGTCGGCCGTTCCGAGCCCCGTAGCCTATTTAAATGATATTTTTATCATATTTCACCCAAGTAAATTAATGTATAATTACATATCCATATTGTTTACTGATGGGAACCAAGCCCATCGAGAGAATACCAGCGAATTGGGCCTAGGCCCAATTTAGATCCCGTCCATCAAAAGGAGTATCCGGCCCGGAGAAAATATACCGGGCCGGTCAGAGGAAGTTGTCCGTGAGGAAAGATAGGAAAAAGAGAAGGATTGGGGGCTTAAGGAGGGATTGAAGCCCAGCCCATTAAAAATAAGCAACCACAAAAGGAAAGGAATCCTATGGAGGAGTCTAGAGTAGTCCCCCCTCAATTGGAGGGACAAGGACGAGGAGAAAGGGACGGACAGGGAGCAAGAGATGGACGGACAGGCTTGTCCTCCAGTGGACGGCCTCAAGTGGAGATACATTCCCCCCTGGAGAAAGAAAAGCTGGCACGAATATTCCCCCAACCACTGCCATTATTGAAGAGGATAATGGAGGGGGAGCGCCTATAAATGAGAGGGAGAGCAGGGGAGTAAAGATCATCTTGTAATAGAGAGAGAAAATACTTGAGTAATAATAAAAGATATTCCGGCATTCCTTGAGGATATTCCGATCCTGAGAGGACCGAATAGAGGAGAGGACTGCCGGTTTGAGTTCTTATTCCGTGAGCAATATTTCCATTATTATTAAATACTATTCTCGTATTATCTTTCAATATTATAAGGCCCGGATACCTATATTTGTGCCTGGGTCGATCTACAGTCCCTGGGAAAATATTGAGTATCCATCACTGGCACCGACCGTGGGACCGATTGAAGCTTCCTAGCCTTCTGGGGAGTTGATAGCGAGCCTATCTCACTCCTGTTCACTTGGGAGGGCCTCTCCCTAGCTTTGGAAGAATCAGCGGTCCACTCCAAGTGAAGGAGATAAGTCCGCGGTCCATCCAGAGGGACTCCTATATTCATCGGTCCATCTAAAAGAAAAAAAACAAAGAAGAAAAGAAGTAGGATTGATCCTCCACGGTCCATCTAAAACAAAGAGAGATAGAAAAGAGGACCGATCCTCAGCAGAGGACCGCATCCACAAGTCTGTAATCTAGGAGGACCGATTTCTTGCTAAGGGACCGCCATCCCATATTGGTCCCCCTCTTTTCATCAAAGAAGGTTTCGAACTGTCATCATGGGCAAAAATCGGTCCAGGAGGAACAGAATCGCTGCTAAGGCACGAACCAACTTGGAGGAGAGAGAAAATCTCTCGTCTTAGAATTTCAGGCATCAAATAACTCTCTCCCAGTCCAATAACTCTCTCCCAGTCCAGGCATGAAACACAAGACAAATCTTGTGAGCAGAGTTTTTACTCTAAAGCCCCTAAGAGTTCTGATGAAGAATTTTGATAAAACTCAAAATTCCCGTAGTAGTAAATGGAACAGACTAGACCTTTAAAAGATCCGTTTATCCTGTGTCGTCTCAAGGATCGGCCCAAGGGAAAGATTAGCAAGACTAGCTAGACAAGATTTACTCGTTGAGTCAAAACGTTTTCAAAAAGTCGAATAAAGAATGGAGATTGAGTTTTCACCTTTCAGGAATAAAAAGTAGGGATGGAATTATTGGTGAGGTGATGGTTCTTTTTAGAGTAAAATCACCGGTTACTTTTACTTTCAAAAATAGAATTGCTTTCTCTCGAGTAACAAATCTCAAGTATAAATTCTCAGTAATAAAAACTAGTAAATTGCCTTTTATACTTCAACTCAACGATTTTCTCAGAAAATTACCATCACCTTTCCAACAATCACATCCCTAATTGATTGAGCTACTCATAATAGGAACTTCCAACACACATACATCATAAGAAGACATTTTTCAATTGATAGCAAAAAGTTAACAAACTTACTTCAACAGATCTGAAGAACAAAAGGTCTGGGGCTACAAATTGCTCCGAGAAAAGCTCCAAAAATGTTACTAATCTAAAATATGAGAGTAACTTACAATATCTAGGCTAAAAGAGGAGAAATTCGGACTTTTTGGGGGAGAAGGGGCGCTGTGCAGCGTATGGAATCGGAGAGGGGAGTGCTGTATTTATAGGACTGGACGCGAAACGTCCAACCCCAGCCGTCCAGATCCATAGCGTCCAAAGTTGGACGCCTTACACGGCCCGTCCATTCGCTGCTTGCCGCGTGTCTTCCTTGATCTGCAATCCAGCCAAGGCGTCCAACTCCCAAGCGTCCAACCTGCAAAGCGTCCAAGGTTGGACGCTTCGGGCCTTGTCTTGTGGGCTTCTTCCGCGGCTTGATCCAATTCAGGCCCAATTTCAATTTTCACCTTGCTTCGCAGTTTGTTTCAGCTTCCTCCAATATTCTCATGATAAAATTCTCAGTTAAAAACTTCTTTTTCTTTCAAATATAAGTAGAAAAATCAACAATCAAGACTGGACAAACTTTAAACCAATTATTATTCCTTAAAGAACAAATCAAAGATATTGTTCAGTTTAACATAAAATTATGTACTGCTTTTCACTATTTTCGTGCAATAACACTTAAAATATGTAGAATAAAATAAGAACAAAATGAACTTATCAAATTCCTCACACTTAAACGTTGCTTGCCCTCAAGCAACAACGTCAGACCACCGAGGGTGACATTCTATTATTATTGCTGAAAAGAGCTTTAATTGCATCATTATGAGGCCAGTTCAACTAACATAATCATTAGACTTTTGTTGAATGGCTAAATTTTTAGAGTTGTCTCTCATTTCCTCTGAAAATGTGCAAAGTTTTTTTACCAAACATGTACTTTTACTTGATTAAATCCAATAGAAGTAGACCATTTACTGAAACGAATATATTTCTTAAAAGAGTTGTTAAGATCAAATAGATTCAACTATCTCTTATGAAGCCCATTATTCACGAATAATTTCCAATAATGTAAAGGTCTTAATAACTTCGATTTGTATTGTTTCTCGACGAGAGAACTTCTCATTTCACAGAAACTTAATTATTTCACCAAGATTGTGGATTTATTTTATGATAAATGCATACTTGCTCCCTCGCCTTATGCTATTTGCGGGAGAAGCAGAGCCCCTTTACGGAGATAGAATTTCCAATTCGTCACTTAAGCGCAATCTTAGTGAAAATGCATGATTAAGGGTTACAAGAAGCAAATATTTAGTGCAGACCTTTTCACATTGTTAAGAATTCTAGTGAAATCATTAGTTTTTAAAGGTAATTGAAGTATCTGAAAAAAACTTTTAAGAAAATACTAGTTAATTTCAGCACTGGTAGTAGTCTATTCGAAAAAAAATCACGTAAAAATTGGAGTTTGCCAAAACCTTGAAAATTCTCAGTTTATATGCTTGACACCCCATCAATTAGCTATTCAATATTAGACTGATGATTATGCTAAAACCAAAGTTGCCTCTAAGTATACAAGTAAAACACGTTTCATTCGATCATTTCAACCAGGTAACTTTCCTCACACTTGAACACAACTGCGTCCCCGCAGGTGAAAAAAATGTTTAGGAGTATAATACCGGGTCGGAATGATTGACTAATAACGTAAGAACTCACACATCAATAAATCAAAAGGAGTTGATTGAAATAGAAATAGAGCAAGTGCATAAGTAAATATTACTGGCGGAAAATAAGAAGTTCCAACAAATCCAGTTGATCATCAATTCCTGCTCATAAACGAAGAGAAGTAAAAGTTTTTAAAGGAAAGTAATATGAAGGTCACTAAGGAGGAGGAACAGAGGCGGATGGATCATTGCCCTCAGGAGAACGAGGTGTGAGCTCGATGTGCACGTCTGAGTAAAAACCAGTAATGGTCCTCCGAAGCTGAGTAAAGCTCTCCTGGGATGCCTGCTGCTGTCCGATCGGACATCCTCTGCATGATGGTATCCTGCTGCTCCAGGATCCTCCTAGCCCATTCAGGGGTCGGATCCGCCTGGGTCGTAGCTGGAGTGGCCTGAGAAGTGGGACGGCGACGAGTGGCTCTCCTAGACGAGACCTGCGAAGATGTTCCTGAGGTCAAGGGCGCAGATGGGGAAGCGACATTGCTCTCGGTCGAGCCAGCTCCCAACTTCCTGCGGATGTGAGCATTCCTCAGCATGCCTGCATCCAAATCTCGCATCATCATTTGTGCCCGCGGAATGGGTGCCGACCCCTCGAGTGATTGGTAGAGTATGGTGACCACGAAACCATAGACAATGTGCGTTCGATTCCCCATGGACTGGCTGTAGAGGAATCGGGCCACAAAGACGGCCACATTCGCCTCCTGGCGTGTGTGCAGGCTCCAGAAGACAATCATATCATCGGGGTATACCCGATCCGTGTCCAACGGCCTCCCAAAGAAGGACGTCGAAAGCACAAAAGATAGGATTCGCCAAGTCGGCTGAATCCAAAACATGGCTCTACCCATGCCCTCAAAGCGATCAGGATCGCAAGAATGTTCCGCCCAAAAGTCCGCAGGATCAACGTCTGCTGGTAGAAGGTACGGTGCGGTATCAAACTCTGGTGCCAACGTCTCATCCCGAGAGTAGAGACCCAAGTGAGAGGCCAGCTCAGCGATCGTCAGCTGAAATCCCCGCCCCATGAGAGTGAAGGTGAGGGTGGTACGAGAGTCGATGGACTGGAGGTTCATCGACCTCGACCCTGTGGATGGCTCCAACTCTAGAGAGCATAGAAACTCTATCGTCAGTGGCAGGCTGGACTCTTCCCGCATGGTGAAGAGGCGATGCCACCTAGTCCCTCGTAGCAGCTGCTCCATCTCCTCAGCGTACCCGTAGTCGGCGAGGACTGCCGAGGACAGATACATAGACTCTGTCAGAGAGCGGTGGCGGCCCCGCATCTCGAACCGCTCGATGGGCCCAGAACCCACCAAGTGAACATCAGCACGCGTAGCAGTCGGGTATGCTGGTCTGTGAGGCATCTGCACATGAAATACACATATAAAATCTTGCCCCCGCGTAGGTGCGACAAGTCTCCGTTCATTTATTCAAATAAGGAATAACAGAAAATAATAATTAAATAAAGTATAGAGAGATAACGGGTTGCCTCCCGTTCAGCGCTTCTTTAACGACATTAGCTTGACATGCTTACTTCATCACTTGTGGAGTTTAATCTCCACCTTCTCTTTCTGAAACTGTTCACTAAAATACCTCTTAATCTGTTGAGCGTTGACCTTGAATGTTCCAGATTCACCTTTTAACTCTATAGTCGCATAAGGAAAGACTCTCGTGATTGTGTAAGGCCCTGTCCATCGGGAGCGAAGCTTGCCTGGGAACAATCCCAAACGAGAATTATAAAGCAACACTTTTTCGCCTTCGCGAAAGACCCTATTTTGCTTAATATGAGCGTCGTGATAAAACTTCATCCTTTCCTTGTATAGCTTAGCATTGTGGAACGCTAATGCTCGCCATTCGTCTAGCTCATCTAGCTGATAAAATCTTTCTCGCCCAGCTTCCGAAGAATCAAGGCAAACATTTCGCAGCGCCAATGTTGAGTCCAAAACATTCACTAATTATTCTCTATTAAATCAGTATTTTTGGGCATTAAAAAGTGCATTTTTACACTTAAATGATCATATTTGCATTCTAGGCATCATTTATAAAATATGTTCATAATGCACACTTTTCAGTTTATTTTTGAATATTATTGTTGTGGGCCCAAATTCTCCTTGATAACGGTTATTAGATATATTCTTGGAGCATAAAATGCGGGCTGAAAACGTGAAAGCAATCCAGTTGGGCTCTACCCCGACTTATGGTTTCAAAGGAAATTCGGGCCCAAGATGACAAAGCCCAAAGGTCCACCTCCAACACACACAAAAGTTTGAGAGAAGCTGCGTAAAAAAGAGAAAAAGAGAGAGAGACGTGTGAGATAGAAGAGCCGAAGACTCCCTCTCCTACTTTTCAATTGATTTTACTTAAGTTGGGTCAAATTAGGATCGCGACCTAATCCAATTTAAAATGATATTCTTTTAAAGTCCAAAGTGCTTTAAATAGCCGAACTTTTCTAGAAACCAAGTGTCACTTGATTAACCTAGGCTGCCTCGTTAAGTGGTTTTTGCTAATCAAGGTTCTCAAACTGATTTTGTTAAATAACCTTCGTGTTACTGCAAGATTGTTACGGTGATGTTTTCCACAAATCTTAATGCACTATTTTTAGTAGTAATCTAAGGGTTGGTCTTTGGGTTGCTAAGGGTAGTAGGGTTTAGAGTTAGGGTTGGTCCTAACATGAGCTTTTATGAATGGGAAAATAGGAAAGAACCGTTGGTGGACTTCTTTTTNCCCCCCTATCTTTTAAGTTAGTTTATAGATTTTAGTTAGTGTTTTTATTCAATAAAAGTGATAAGTGAACTGATTTTCATAGCTTAAAAAGTATCTTTCCTCGTGGGATCGACCCTTACTTGCCCTATCTATATGTTTTAATGAATATTATTTCAAAAAGGGGGTTAAAAGTTAAGGAAAATAATAAATTAATTTGTAGGTGCTACGACACGCCTATCAAATTTTGGCGCCGTTGCCGGGGACAGATTATTTTTTAAATGAGAATTGGTTTGCTTATTGTTTAAAAACAGAAAAAAACACTTAAAAAAAAGTTTTTTTTAACTATGCTGGTTATTATAGCTTAATAAGTCAGTTTTTTTTCAAAGTCTAAGTCAGTCCCTAGGTGCATTTGTGTCTTGTTTGTAATCAGTTTGTTATGAGTCCCTACGTTTTTTTTCCTTTGCCAACCTTTTACTAAAAAAAATATAAATAGATTTACTGACAGTTTTTAAAATCAACCTTTTTCTCCACTAAATGCAGATTTTGAACAAATATGGTCCTGGGAGCTTAAAATTTTTTAGGAAAATGATGTTAAAAGGAGTTTCCAGTCCAAGTTTGATCAAAATATTTTTATATTGCTAACTAGTAACAATTAGAGAACTTGCCTAAAAACCCTTTGAAAAGACTGTTTTCAATGGTGCCCTACTGTTAATTATTATTTTTTATGATCAGGGAGTTTTCATCAAAATAAGTTTTTATCAGAGTAAAGTCAACTGAGCAATTAATGCACTTTGTTTTCTTTAAAAAAAAAGAGAGCAGAAATTTACTTATTGCTTAAGGTGCTGATTTTTTTTAAGAGACAATAGTGTTTGCTTGTTTGTTATTTGCTCAGTAGTTATTTGACAGTTAATCAAGTATAAGAATTCTAATACTTCTTTATTCTCTTTGAGTTGCAGCTATCTGATATTTGCATGCGCTTGAGGAGCAGAAGAGTAATTGGTGAAATAGAGGTAAAAGGTAGCAACCGCGAGGTAAGTGTTTCTGGATCCAAATCTTTTAATAGCGAGTTTGTTGCTGAATCTGAGGATAGACCAGCCAATTTGCTTGCTGTTGATTTGTTTGATTCTTGTTCTGATAGCATCTTTGATAATCTTTTTGAAATAAATTCTGAACCAAATATGACAACTTTAAGAGAATTGGCAGCCCCTAACCTAAATGTTCAACCGCTTTCTATCACATATGCTGAGCTAGAAAAGCCTTTAAAACTGAATTCTGGCTTCATAAATTTACTTCCAAAATTCCATGGTCTTCCTGGAGAGGATCCCTTTAGGCACATTTTTGAATTTCTGATTACTTGCGGTGCCTTGGTGCCTGAAGGGGTTGCTCAAGACCAAATTAGGTTGAGGGCTTTCCCGTTTTCTTTAGCTGATAAGGCAAAGGACTGGTTGTACTACATGCCAGCCGGTTCTTTCACTACTTGGAATGCCCTACATAAAGCTTTTTTAGAAAAATATTTTCCAGCTTCTAGGATAGGTTCAATTAGGAAAGAAATATGTGGGATTAAACAAATGATTGGGGAGAACTTTTCTGAATATTGGGAAAGATTTAACAAACTCTGTGCCTCCTGTCCTCAACACCAGATTTCTAAACAACTTTTAATCCAATATTTTTATGAAGGGCTACTTCCTACTGAGAGGGGCAACGTGGATGCTGCCAGTGGGGGTGCCTTGGTTATTAAAACACCTGAACAAGCTAGGGAATTATTTAATTTGATTGCTCAGAACACCCAACAGTTTGGTACTAGGGAAACATTAGTGAAGAAAGTGAATGAAATTGGTAATTCTTTTATTGAAAACAAACTTACTGAACTTACCAATGCCATTTCACAACTTACAACTGTCGGAGGGGTTAAGGGAAAACCTTGTGGGGTTTGTTGCTTGGAAGGACACCCTACTGATGCTTGTCCGACCTTGCAACACCCCGAGGTAAATGATGTTTTTTATAATAATAATCAAAGAAAATACGATCCTTTTTCTAATTCTTACAATGAGGGATGGAGAGACCACCCAAATCTCAGGTATGGTAATGGGCAGAACTACCAGGCTCCTAGGGGTAATTTTCAGAATTTTAACAATCCATCACAACAGCCCTCTTTTGATAAAAACACTCAACTTTTGGAACAGATTCTTAAGAAAATGGATGACAAATTCTCTGGTTTTGACCAAACTCTTAAGCAAATGCAAGAAAAGCAATCTGCCACTGAACTTACAGTGAGTAATTTGCAAGCCCAACTTAATAATAGGTTTCCTTCTCAACCATTTTTGAATCCTAAAGAGAATTTGAGTGCAATTGAGCTGCGAAATAAGAAAAAACTGCAGGAACCTAGTTTTGTCAGTAGGGAAGAAAGGGAGAAAGAACTTCATCCAAATCAAGTTTCTTTTGAAAATCAAAATGCTGAATTTGTTGAAAATGAAATCACTCAGGTTGATAAACAGAAAGAAATTGACTTTCAAAATAGAATCAATGAGTTTAAAAATCAAAAAGCCCCGTTTCCCAGTAAGTTTCTAAGTCAACAACCTAAGACGAAGGAGTTAGATCAAGAGATGTTAGAAACTTTTAAAAAGGTGGAAATAAATCTCCCTCTTTTAGAAGCAATCAGACAAGTTCCCAAGTATGCTAAATTTCTTAAAGAACTTTGCACTCATAAAAATAAGCTTTGCGGGACTGAAAAGGTGTTGATGAGTGAGAATATTAATGCTGTTTTTCAGAATAAATTACCCCAAAAATGTAAGGATCCTGGAGTTTTTACGGTTCCATGTCAGATAGGGAGTTTAAAATTTGACAAGGCAATGTTAGACTTAGGTTCTTCAATAAATGTGATGCCTAAGGATATTTTTGAACAACTCCACATTGGGGACCTAAAAAGAACAGGGGTAGTAATCCAATTAGCAGATAGGAGTCACACCTACCCCGAGGGGATCTTAGAGGATGTCTTGGTTAGAGTAAATGACTTCATTTTTCCTGCTGATTTTTACATTCTAGATATGAAAGTTGATAAAACCAACATTCCCATTTTGTTGGGAAGACCGTTTTTGAAAACAGCCCGGGCTAAAATTGATGTTCACGGGGGTACTTTAACAATGGAGTTTGATGGTGAGATAATTAAATTTAGTCTTTCTGAAGCAATGAAACACCCTCATGATGAAAATCAAGTCTTTGCTATGGATGTAATTGATAAAATCACTAAAAAAGTTTTCAGTAAATCAAATGACGATGCTCTGTACACTGTTTTAACTGAAAGTTTAGACCCTTTTGAGATTGAAAAATTAAATTTTTCACTTCTTGATGATGTTTGCTTTTATGCAGAAAATTTGTCTTCTGTGGAAGAGGTTAAAACTGTTTTAAAACTGAATTTGGAGGTTCCTAAGACCAAACCACTTCCTTCTTTGATTTCTCCACCTGAAATTGAACTTAAAGATCTGCCTCTTCATCTAAAATATATTTTTTTGGGTGAAAATGGAACACTTCCTGTGATAATATCAAATCTTTTAACTGAACCACAAGAATTAATGTTATTGAGAGTTTTAAAGGAACACAGTGAAGCCATAGGCTGGACTTTAGCGGACATTAAGGGTCTTGACCCAACTTTGTGTAGTCATAGGATAAGTCTAGAACCTGATGCGAAACCAAGAGTTGAAAATCAAAGAAGACTTAATCCTCCTATGATGGAGGTAGTTGAGAAAGAACTTTTAAAATGGATTCAAGCAGGAGTCATCTATCCCATAGCTAATTCAGAGTGGGTAAGTCAAATTCATGTCGTACCGAAAAAAGGGGGAACTACTGTAGAATTAAATGAACAAGGTGAGTTGATTCCTGTTAGAAAACAAACTGGTTGGAGGGTGTGTATAGATTATAGGAAACTGAACAAAGCCACTAAAAAAGACCATTTTCCGTTACCTTTTCTTGATTCTTTAATTGAAAGACTAGCTGGAAAGTCTCATTACTGCTTTTTAGACGGTTATTCTAGTTATATTCAAGTGCCTGTTGCCCCTCAAGACCAGGATAAAACCACTTTTACATGCCCTTTTGGCACATTTGCTTTTAAAAGAATGCCTTTTGGCTTGTGTAATGCACCGGCTACTTTTCAAAGATGCATGATGAGCATATTTTCTGATTACTCCGCTAAAATAATGGAGGTTTTTATGGATGACTTTTCAGTATATGGAAATAATTTTGAAGA